TTGCGATATAGACCCAATGATTTCTTCAAATGATCCTGATGTTTCATTTTATTTATGACCTTTTTAAAGATGATACCGTTAAAATTATTTCACTATAAGCAATTTCAAAATAAATGAACTTTCAAACTATATTATAGACAACCCACTATACTTGTAAGGCAGTACAGGCAACGAATTAGCATATTGAAGTTGTTGACACGTGGTGTCAGTTGTCAAAATCCTTTCAGTTGTGCAAGGTGCCGTTCAGTGCTCTATTGCAGCTGAGCCGGAAAAGCAATTTTCCCATATTTTCCAAGAGCAAGTGAACATTATTGATTATTTATAGTAAGTTGTTGAACAACCTAAGTAAATCTCTTAATAAGTCTTTTAAAATAATATATTTGCAGTTAGAAATTTAGGGATAATCTTTAAATATAAGCAGAATTTTCTATAAATGTGCTAAATTGTTAATACCATATTGTTCTTTTAATTATTTTATGGATTTTCATTACTATAATCAGTATGGTTTCTACATTAAAATATATATTGTTTTTGATGTAGTCCAATTGGAATTACAAGGATTAGCTTTGAATTTATCCAAATTGATATAGATTGGATTAGTTATTTGTAAGCATTGGGGCCTGTATATTGAACATGTTGAAACAAATATTTTTTAAATAATATCAACCATTCATCTTGAACTGATTAATTAGAGTGACATTAAAAGAATTAATAATGGAGATTGCAGGACTAAATCTTATATAGAAAAATTCTGTTTGATTTTTTTAAAAAAATTTTTGTTTAAATTTCATGACATTGTCATTGTCAATATATCATCATCATTTTCATTGTCAATCAAAAGAAACTTCGTATTCAAAGCTTGTTAGTAATTATGGTTTTGAAAAAGCTTATAACATTTAAAGTTTGATTAATCAAAAAATATGGTTTGCAGAAATCCTTAAATTTCATTATTTAATTTCTTTTTTTTAATAACGATGGAAAGTTTAATGGAAAGATTTATATCAATTTATTATTTCTACCACTTTCGGGTTTATCGGCCCCCACAAATTTTTGTTGGTTTTTGGGAATGGTTTTGAAAAGGTTTGGAATATTTAAGCAAAGTTTGATTAATTAATATTAATTAATTTTGAACTGAAAATTATTTAGGGAGACGTATATAGAAGCACTGAATTTGTTTATTTTTTGTCAAAATTCTTTGCTTGATATTTTCATGACGTTTTGCAATATTTCATCATCATTTTCATTGTGGGAAATTCCAGGTACAAAGCTAGTAATTTTTCCAGAAAGCCTGGATTAATAAATGTATTAGCAAAGTTTTTTTTAATCAATATTAATCCATTAATCTTGAACTGAAAATAATTTGTATTGGAGATCGAAAGACTTAATGTTACAGGAAATTCTCTGGTTAATCTATTATTTGAAATATCTATGACATTTTGCAATATTTCATCATTATTTTCATTGTCAAACAAGAAACTTCTGTTGTAAGTAAATATGGTTTGCAGAAATCCTGAAATTTCATGATTGTTTATACTAATAACTATTGTTTTTTTTTATGGAGAGGTATCTTATTTAAGATTTGGGAATTGGAATTTGCAAATGCAAAAATAACCAGTCTAAACATATGCATCAACTGTGTATATATAATTTTATAAATACGTATAAGATAAATATTTCATTAATTTCAGTTTAAATATTTATTCCTTGTATTTATAGATGTCGAAGCGCAGCCAACCGGCATGGTCTGTGCATCCGTCTTCAGATGGTCCAGTCCTGAAGGTCTTCAACAGCTTGACCAGACAAAAGGAAATATTTGTTCCCCAAGACGGCAAAAGGGTGACTTGGTATAGCTGCGGACCGACCGTCTACGATGCCTCGCATATGGGACATGCCAGATCATACATTACCTTTGATATCTTAAGAAGGATCTTGTCCGATTACTTCGGTTATGATATTCTTTATGTCATGAATATTACGGATATTGATGATAAAATCATCAAGAGGGCCAGACAGAATTATTTATTTGAAAAGTACGTGGCGGAAAATCACAGTTTGGAGCAGGTTTTGAGCGATGCTAAAATGGTTTGTTCATGGCTTATCTATTTGTTTGTGGAGAATAAAATGTATCTATTGTTTTGTGAAGGTGATGGAAAAGTTATCAGTAACAGTGAAAGCTACAACAGATCCTGATAAGAAAATAATGCTGGAACGTTTGATGACTAAGTTGACTGCTGCTACTGAAGTATTAGAAGCTGCGGTGAAGGGCGGTGATGGCGCGAAGGTAGCCAATGCACAAGAGATGTTCGTGAGGGAATGTAAAGATCCTTTATCGGATTGGTTGGATAGTAAATTCGGAGCTACTGTCACGGATAATGCAATTTTCAGTGCTCTTCCCGCTCATTGGGAGCGCGAGTTCCATAAAGATATGGATTCTCTAAATGTGAGTTTTTTTTTTTAAATATTGGAAGGTATTATTTATTAATTTTATTATTTTTGATCAGGTATTGAGACCAAATGTATTAACCAGAGTTAGCGAATATATCCCGGAGATTGTAGATTACGTGGTGAAGATTATTGAGAATGGATTAGCGTACGAAGCTAATGGCTCTGTTTATTTCGATGTCGGGGCTTTCGATCGCAAGGATAAGCACCATTACGCCAAATTGGTACCAGAAGCTTACGGAGATGCTAGCAGTTTGCAAGAAGGCGAAGGGGACTTAACCACCGCAGCTCAGCAGAACGAAAAGCGAGCTCCAACTGATTTCGCTTTGTGGAAAAAGAGCAAGGCAGGAGAACCTGCTTGGGATTCACCTTGGGGAAAAGGACGTCCAGGATGGCACATCGAATGCTCAGCGATGGCATCTGCAATCTGCGGTCCAAAGTTGGACATCCATACTGGTGGTGTTGACTTGAAGTTTCCGCATCACGATAACGAAATAGCTCAGAGTGAAGCTCATTTTGATGAAGCCGAATGGGTTAAATACTTCTTGCATTCGGGTCATTTAACCATTGCAGGTTGTAAGATGTCTAAATCATTGAAAAACTTCGTTAGCATCCAGGATGCGTTGAAGGATTACAGCGCTAGGCAACTACGTTTCGCATTCTTGTTGCATTCCTGGAGGGATACCTTGGATTATAGCCCGAACACTATGGAAATTGCCATGCAATACGAAAAACTCTTCAATGAGTTTTTCTTGAACGTGAAAGATATAACTAGGACCATCGGACAAGGTACTAACAATGAGACGTTCGCCAAATGGGATAAATCGGAGCTGGATTTGAATGAGAAATTTGAAAAGGGTAAAACTGATGTTCACGCGGCGCTTTGCGATAACATCGATACCAGGACTACTTTGGAAGCTATGCGAGACATAGTGAGCGCCAGCAATTTATACTTGAGGGATAGGAAGCCACCAAACGCTTTGTTACTTTTCGATATTGCTAGATATATAACTGGATTATTGGAGATCTTCGGAGCCATCAATAACCCCGGTCAAATTGGATTCCCTATGGCAGGAGAAGCGTCAGGAAACGTAAGCTCATTTTTCATTAATTTTAGTTTCTCCATAAATTAATGAATTAATGACTTTTAGGCGGAGAACATCATAATGCCGTACTTATCCATTTTGTCTGAGTTCAGAGGCAACGTCCGCGCTCATGCTAGAACTCTTAAAGCCACCGATATCTTAAAGGAATGCGACGAATTAAGAGACGAAATCTTGCCGAATGTAGGTGTTAGGTTGGAGGATCGCGAGGGAGAACCAAGTGCTGTTAAATTGGTGGACAAGGAAACATTGCTGAAGGAAAGGGAAGCCAAGAAGAAATTGGAGCTTGAAAAACAAGCTGAAAAGGAGAAAAAGAAACAAGAGTTGGCTGCAGCTAATGCAGCCAAGGAGGCGCAAAAGAAGATTCCGCCTACTGAAATGTTTAAATCCGAAACTGATAAGTACTCTAAATTCGATGAAAATGTAAGAATTTGTATATAATATACAAGTCACTAACGTTATTTTATTCTAGGGTTTACCGACACACGATTTAGAAGGAAAGGAGATCAGCAAAGGTCAAATGAAGAAGTTGCAAAAGCTGCAGCAAGCTCAGGAAAAGAAATATCAAGAATATTTAGCTAGTCAGAAATCTTGAACGAACGATGAATCACCGATGATTATTTATTATGCGAGAACTTATTAATTAACCATTTAATGATTAATTTTATGAAAGATAGTGTTGAAAACATTGTTTCTCTAACTATTGTGCATTTTATAGTGTAATATAAATCATTGTGTAATTTTATACTACTTATATTTAATATACAAAGTGCTCTTATAATTATCAATACTTTTTCTTTTCATTTGATGAAATACTACAACCTATTCAAATTATTGACTTTATTTAAATGTAGCTTTGTAAAATAATGTAACTAATGTTTAGTATCTTTTTAAATTTATATAATAGCAAAAATATTCAGGCAACCTAATATTCTATTTACACATGTATAGTCGTTATGCAACCAAATATTCATAATTGCATCTTTTCGAAGTACAGTAAGACCTAAGTCTAGAGCTTACGATGCGTTCCTAGACAAGTCCAAAATCGTGAAAATTTGGTCGTGAAAAGCTGTGATACTCTTAATTATCATTATATCAGTAAAATCATGTTTACTTTTTAATTTATAATGTATCTTAACAGAATGCAAAAAAAGTTTTAGTGTATTTTCAACATAATTTATTATTATATAAAAAATAGAAATTATTACAATTTAAAAGTAAAAATAAATGCATTCTTATAACACATAAACCAATAAACAGTAACAAATATATAAAGTAATAATAAACAAAATTTATTGTATAATAAAATAAATAATAAGAATTGAATCATAATTGCATAGAAGACATATTTCAAACTAAATACTCTCTACATGTATATATGGTTGCCTATATCAATATATACCCGTGTAATTTTCAATTAACAAAAATCTATTCTGTTAATGCAAA